TATAGGCAAATTCAAGTATACGTGAATCAACCAAACCTTTTTATATCTATCGATATATTAAATTTTGTGCGCAATGAGTAAAGCCGGTTATTCTTGTTGACTTTGTGTTAACTTGAGGCTTTAACAAAAATGAACCCCAGATCTGATGATGTTCATCATGGGGCATGGCGAAAGAAATTCAGTCCGTTTTAGCCCAAAAAGTTGGAGGATGTCTCGTGGACTGCATCAACCTGAACGTCGTGTTAAAGCCAAACGGCTGCAGTACAACAAAAATCAGGCAACGTCTTCTGGTGAGACTGACCTACGAAGCTCTTCATCATGTACTTCCATACGAAATGAAAGTCTTCGCATCAATAGCCCATGTCTATGTTCACGAATTGGAGGAGAATTTTGAAAGATCACCTCATCAGCGAACAGTAATTATGCGATATTTGGGTGACTTCTTCGCATGGAAAAGACATTTCGCCCGCATTGTTCCTGAAAGACGCCATCTTTAGTACATAGTTACACCTCATCAAAGTGACAAGTGCAGGCAATCCTATTGAACACTTTCTGCTCAACCGTTGTGGCACCCCTCATCGCCCCTATTTTTCGTCATAGCTGCTAGTTTTGCATCTCTTTCTCTCAACCCCAGCAGGATGGGAATAGTTAAACGAGAGATATGAATTGGGGTTGAGAGAAAGACATGCAGTACTAGAAACCGGGACAAAAATTAGGGGCGATAAGTGATGCTTCAACGGTTGAACAGAAAATTGGTCAAGGGGATTGCCTTCACTTGTCACTTCGAAAAGTTTTAACGCTGGGCTTCTAATTGACGATGCCGACTATGATGCCGGTAAAACGTCGGAGAATGTATCAAATCAGCGGTCAAATGCTGCGAGTCATCATGCATACTCGAGGGCAGAGAATTCAGAATTGAGAACATTCCACAAGGTCTCCCTGTCGCTTCGATCAAGTTGTGAAAACGAGGTCAAACCAACACTATAAGTAGTTTCTAGTTAACTTCTCGCCGGTATTCCTCACTTTCAAGGTGAGACCGACATTACAAGCATGCATTCAGAGAGGTCAATGGGCGCATGGGCTGCCACAGGCCTCCAAATGGAGTTGTGTCCAAATCTAACGTCATGACCAGTCCTCCCTCTGATCCTGGACGCACGGACAGATGGCCAAGTGAACAGAGCCAATTTGGGATTTGATGGCTTAACGACGCTGTAGGGAGGCCGTGAAAAGAGCTCATTCGTAGGTCGGCTGTCAACTGAGTACTGATAAGCCTCTTGTCGAGACGCATGCAAGAATCGCCCTCTGACCCTACTCCCCTTCGAGACGAACATCCATTCTATCAGTGTCCGGGTCGAAGCCTGTTAGCCCAGCTCTCGGTTGCTTCCGCTCCGTAGCGTTAATTTAACACGGCCTATTGCTATCCTAACAACAAAATGAATTAATTCGGTATGCATAACCGATAAGAATGAGCAAAGTTTTCAAAATTATCTGTTCTCTTGCATCTGGTTATCACCATCTCAATAACATGGGTTGTACATTCGTCCATCTATAGACTGGTTAATCCAATATTCAGTCTATTCTCCCATTATTACATGGCTTCAATCAGATGGACCTTGGTTTTATGCTTTTTTAGGGTTGCGATAAGGAAATTATCGGCAGAAGCAGCCTGGTACAAATCCTAGTTATGCTGAAATGGCTGTCATTGTGGCTAACCTGGGAGATCTCGCGTCTAGCGTTGAAGTGGCATTAAAAACTAAGTACAGACTAAAACTATTAATTTAATGGCAAATGCTTAAAGAATATAAACCATGTGTAGAAAAACTGGTTTTCAAAGCATCCCCTAGTATGAGACCCATTATTTCATTTTAACAGGGGAATAGAGAAGATTCTTCATTTGGCCTTACTGTAAGCCGAGGTAGGATCATGAAGAAGAGCTGGGTTTCAATGGAACCCTTAGTCAGTTTGTCAACTCGACTTTCCATTTCGAATAAAAAGTTAGTTAAAAAGAATACGGGAAATGGTCCCATTGAAAGGTTGGTTGGGGAAGGTTGGTTGGGGAAGGTTGATGCATGAAATAGAGTACCGCTTCCTTTCCTAAATAATCAAACGTATGATATTGTAATCTATTATGTATGTGGTATTGTGTATTTTGGGTATGCAGTCCAATTCATGTAAGGTGTGAGTCCTAATCCGACTTTAGGCTGCTCAAGCCTCCTCTTGCTTACTGGTTCTTCCTCTTCCCCCTCTTCCTGCCTCTCCCTACATCATTTCCTACATTCATTTTTCCTATACACGATGATGGCTGCTTTGTTTATTTTTATATTCTCCCCAATCTTAGGCTTGGATATGAAAGCCCCGTAGCCTGCGAAACACAGTTTTGGACCACTATTTCGTGTACTGCACTAAGCCCATACCTTTGGAAATAGATAACTTTGTTAGCCATTTCGTTATAAGATACTCTCTTATGTACAGGTCGGCGACTCTCCAATTCAAAAAAATATAAAAGTAATTATCTGCCTTTTCTAATTCAATATTAAATTTTATTATTCCATCCATTCTGTTCATTATCGCCAGTTACTGATCTAATTTGGCCTTGCCAATAAGCGGAAGAATAGGAAATATATAGACATAACAACAGACTATATCCTGTACAGATAAATGAGTATATGAAATTAAGTGGAAACTACTTGTGGCTGTTGGGTATGTAACAAGAAGTATCGTCGAGCAATAGGAGCCAATAGCATGCATCAACATTGCAAGATCAAAAATATAAGTGATCTATTTGAGGATAAGGTTGCTCAGTCACAATTGAATCCGCTTCAAGGTCACCTGCATCCACTGCAGCAAACATGTAGTAAAAGCGTAAGATATCTAACCAAATCATTAGAAGTCTCATTAAGTGGATAAAGTTATGCTATATGAAATATGAAGGATTGAAGCCAGGATGGTGTTCTGTTTCGATGATATTCTTAACATGACGGACGAAAGCCCAACAAAGATTGATTGGCTTCATGGGACTCATTTACACAAACATACGGACAGCTAAGGCAATCATATATCAGTTTCCGGTAAGGTCAAATTATGAATCCCTTTCATCCGCCAACTTAAATAAAACGAAAGGCTCTCTGACAATAAAAAATAGGCAAAGCAAATGGTATGAGCACAAACGCAACTGTCGGTTAGATAAGTTGCATGCCTAAAGTAGTTATTAAATTATAGTACAACATTGAGCTCAGCACATATCCTAGGAGAGACCCTCTATAGTAAAGCAAAATAAGACAACCACACAAAGACGAAGCACATTTGGAGGGTAACTATTGATAATGGGGGGACGAATAGTTGTAATGGGTAACCGTAACCGTGGCGAAAACTGCCTAACAAGGGAAGTTTTAATTGAGCAACAAGACCCAATATTATAATAATATAGAGAAATCACCCGTAG